GGTTGTCTTATACATGGGGGCATCTTATAGATGGAAAAATACGATATTCAGTTCTGACATTTTTTACTATAAAATTGGGGTTTTAAGGCTACCTCTTTTACTCTGGAACTCTCCAGATGTCTAATTTTACCATGTTTGCTGAGGATTGTGGGAAATGAAGTTCAAGACATCCAGAGAGTACTGTATTGGAAAGGTTCCATGTTAATAAGTTGTTTCCCCTCCCCAAGAAGCATTTTTAAAAAGATCAAATTGTTTATTTATTAGTTTTAAGAAAGGGATGCCTGCAGACTCAGTTGAACCTTATATTAATATGCATTATATTATACAATCTTATATGAGCTTGCATAAAAGGCTTAGTATAATATTAATAATGTTTTATTTTCTTTATTTGTTTATATAGTGCCTCAATCCAACTGCACTCTAGGCAGTTTACAACATATATAATAAAATACCAAAATAATAATACACTAATATAAAATATAATGTGTGTGTGTGTGTATATATAAAAAACAAAAACTAATACTTTTTTTGCAGTGTTCTTAAACATTCAGTGGATGCTACATATGAGAATCGGGGGCCCAGCCCTGGTTATCGCATGGAAATGTCCATCTTCTATGTGGTTTACTTTGTGGTCTTCCCATTTTTTTTTGTCAACATTTTTGTGGCCTTAATCATCATCACCTTCCAAGAGCAAGGGGACAAGATGATGGAGGAATACAGCTTGGAGAAGAATGAGGTACAGCATGCATTAGAAAATCCAGTGAAAATGTTGCTTTGACAGAATATTACAAAGACTTTTAGAAATTCCTCTCTCTCTCTCTCTCTCACCTTTGGCAGTTTGAAAGCTTCAATGTGGTACAAAAATATTTTGCAGGGTGAAAGGAGGAATTGGAAATCTTCTAGTTTTACTGAGTCTGTGACTGGTACCAAAGGAAGTTTGATACCAGAAAGACTGCAAGGGCAGGTTTCTTATAGAAAAGAAGAAGAAGAAGCTGCATCCATGTTCTCATCATGATAAAGTCTGAAAAATTAAAATACTTATAATATATAAAGACAATCTCATATGCAGTATAACTCTAAAATATATAAAACAACAATAAAATCAGGGAACCAGGTTTATTTACAGAGAAGATTATAACATAGGACAGCAGTAAGTACATGGTACCTTCTAGCTACATAGAAGTACAATTCCCATAGACATAAACATGGCTAACTCTGGGGGGAAACTGCCCTAAATAATACTACTTTGATCAATATATATTGTCTATCAACATCATGTAGGTATATTAGTGTCCTCTACTGCTGGCATTTTAGCTAGCGTAGAGTTGAGATTATTGCTGCTTCACTTCTTGCATTAGGCTGTTCTTCCTTACAAAAGAGAAAAGACTCTGCTCCTTATTCTGTGGCACACTGATAATCCTCTTTGTTTCTTTTCTCTACAAATAATCGTAACCTCCATTAACTAGCTGCCCATGGGAAAATGGCTTAAAATCCAAAGTACAGAACCTTTTTTCCATTAAAAGCCACATTCTCTCAAGGGTGCTTTATTAGCAGATGGGACTGTTCCCCTTCTCTCTCTTTCTCCCAGTTAAGAGAGTTATCTGCCTGTGGGGGGAAAATGCTTTAAAATAAAAAATATGGATTTTTTTTTCTATTAAGGGTCACATTCTCTTACATTAATCTATTATTAGATGGGCCTGCTCCCCCTTTTTTTCTCTCATCTTCCTTTCTCTTTCTTCTACCATCTTCCCCTTTTCCTCCTTCCCACAGGCTAGCAGAGGAAAAATAAATCAGTCATGCAAAGTTTGAAGTTACAAAGGGCTTTTAAAACTAATCTGAGGGCCACAGCCTTTCTCCACTGCTGAATTAATGTACCCATCCATCTCTGAATCAGCAGAAAACTATACCAGTGTAAAATTTGCTGCCTCCATAGTCTCTGTTCTGACTCACTGCTAAATGATGCTGTCCTAATTATGCATATGCAACACTTGATAACCAAAGAGATAGATTCCTATACCTTTGCTCCTTCTCTCTTCTGTACATCACCAGTCAACAGGAAAAATATTACCAGTCACTGTGGTGTAATACAAATGGGGTGTTCCTGATTGTCCATCAAATCTAGGCTTCTTCTTGTGCCTTTCTTTCTATACCCCATTCTGTTGTAAGCTGAGCTGAATAAAATTTTAAAAACTAGATTGGAGTCATGAAGGAGCTGAATCATTCAAAATAGTTTTACTGGGGATTTCTCTCCCCCATCTTTTCTTAATAGGCAACATATGCCAACTTCTAGATTCCTCAGTATTGGTTCAGGAGGTGGAATGAGGGATTCCTGTCATTCCACAATTATGGTATTTCAGACTTTACTAAAAAAGCAAGTTAAAACACTTACAGTATTGCAGGCTAAGCAGTCTAGTGTTGTTGTATGATTCTGACAGAAAATGGCATAGCATTGCTATGTCAGTCTTTAGGGAGACAGCGGCAGATTAGACTGGCTGGGGATGAGAGGGAAGAGGGCATGTACAATAGCCTGAATCAACCAATGCTCTGATCTCACCTACCACTGTTATATCACTTTGCACCAGCATTTCGGGTGATGAAGTGTAATAACAGTTTTTGCCTATCTTATGACTGTCTGTGAGAGCTAGTTTTGGCAAGGTCAAAAGAAGCCTAAAACCAGGTTAGTCTGTTACCATAACATTTGGTACAAGTGAAAATCATTTCTGCCCAAAAGAGAGAAGCCTCAAGCTCATTTTATCTCACAGGCATAAGAACTCTTAGATTTGATTTCAACTATAAATAGGGCTTGCATTTGATACATAACAGTCATTGGATTTATTTTATAAAGTCTTTGTTAATTCTTGTAATACATTTATCAGAAGTCTGCATCCTTGAATGTCTGCCTACGCTGCTTCCAGTTCTAGTGTTTGATGATAGAAGCCTGACAGCAATTGCAGCACTCCCTTAAATCCCTTTTCTTATGGAAGAAAAGAATCCCTTTGAGTTTGTAGAACCAGATCAAAATGGCCAAAACTCTTGCAATATCATTAACCATTGACTAGGTTGCTAACACCCTTCTCCTGTTTCAGAACCAAATGGCATAGCATTAGAATTAGAGGATGGCCCAGAGGGACCATTCAAACCAGACAATGAACTAACTAGAGTAATAGATGGGTCTGATCAAGGACTACTGGTGGCAACATGCTGCTACAGTCCCCCAGTTCTTTGCTTGACAGTGGAATCTCAAGATGTTTATGATCTTTACCATTCAACTAAAATTATACCTCTCCTTGAGAATAGGAGAATTTTCCACAGATCATCCCAAGTAGTATTTATAATTGATCTTTAAATGGGAGAAACTGAAAAATGGACAACCCCCACTTCCTGAAACATTCATGATATAGACAATTATATTCATTTAATGACCAGACTGAGAGCTGCCTTTGATGATTCCATCAGACAGGCTACAGACAATGATGAGATCTGATGCTTACAAAGTGAACATCATGTACGCACATATGTGGCTGACTTTCAACTTTTTGTTCAGGATGTGGGCTGGAATGAGCTACCTTTGATCAACCAGTTTAAAGAGTGCTTGTCTGATGAATTATGCAACAAACTAATTTGAAAAAGCACTCCAAGTACCTTGGAAGTGTTAATCAAATGTTGTGTTGTTACAGATGGAAGACTCATGGAATAGCAGCAGAATATGGGCAAGAAGGAGTGATGACATTACTCTCCCTTTCCATCCTTCCTTCCCCCACACCCATCTGCTTATCAGAATCTTCAGAAGTTAAATGCATGCATTTGGGAGCCAGCAGGGCTCCATTGTTGGCTGCAGAAAAGTAATGTTAATGTACACAGGGTCTTTGTTTATGTTGTAGGACTTTGGGGCATTTTGACTAGATTGCCCTCCTAAAATTCTCCACTCTGAGACAACAGCTAAGTATTATATATGTAAAAAAGGGAAACATTTTGCAAGCAAATGCCCTAAATGTTCTAAGCTTGGCTTATGAGGAACCAACCCACCAAACTCCAGGAGCTTGAGAGAAAGAAATTGCAACAATTAAATGGGATGTACAATACTCATAGGATCTCCTTTCTCTTACTTCTCACATACAATGTGGCTCTCTCAGACCCTGATAAATTCTAGAGCTATGGGCAATTTTGCAGACTGCGATTGCATACAAATATGCCTTGCTGTTTAGCCAGTAGACCCACTATTGAGGATGGAAACTATTGATGGTAGACTCCTGCACTCAGGACCATCATTTCTGACCAACAAGAAACTTTGCAATTCATTTTAGCTTCTACTATACATGCCCCTATAGCTTTGGGGATGCATTAGCTTCAGATCCATAACCTACATATTCCTGAGACCAAGAAAATACTGCATTTGACTCTCCAAAATGCCAAACCACATGCAGGTCCTCTTCCAAAGGAGGAGAGCTGCTGTAGAGATTACCTGCTTGCCCATGCATCAGAGAAATGGAAATCTTGATGACAATTTTCAGAATGGGGTTTATTTCCCCCTTAGCATCCCCAGCCATCACTCCATTTTTTTTTCAAAAAGGAGAATAATTCTTTGAGTATCTTTCATGATTACTGCTTCTAAATTCTATAATCGTTAAGGATCATTAGCTCCTTCCTCTCATTTCTGAACTTCTAGAAACAGTATAGAAGGCATGCATTTTTGCCAGTTTAGATCCCAGAAGGGACTACAGTTTAATTTGCAAGAAGGTGGGGTGCATATATTTAACTCCCTTTGACATGCATTGTGGAAAGTTTGAACAGACACATCCTATGGTTTAGTTTATCAATGAGTTTATAAATATCTCATATTTTTCATGAGATAGTGGACTGTTATCTGAAAGTTTATTTGGTTGACCTGTTAATTTATTCTGAAGATCAACTACTCACACTAAAAAGGTCCATACTGTGCTTGACCAGCTCTACCTACACAATGTATATGCTAAGATAGAGAAATGTACCTTTGACCTGTGTCTCTTGGATTATCAACAGTACCACCTCTTTCCTGAGGGCATCACAATGGATCTCACAAAATGGATTCAGTTCTCTCCTGGTGCACATCCACACATCCACAGTGTCAAGGAGGTGCAGCAATTTGGAGGATTTCTTAACTTTTGTTACCAGTTTATCCCTGATTTTGCAGCATATATAAAAGCTTTGACCCATCTTACTAAGAATGGGATTTTCAAGCATCATACATAATTTGAAGTGGGATTCTGATGCTCAACAAGCCTTTTCCTCATTCAAACAGACTTTTGCCTCCCAGCCTATCCTCTGCCATCATGTTCCTTTGTTGTTCAAACAGATGCTTCTGATTTTGATTTAAGGGCAATCATTCTCCAGACAGCTGAGGATTTTGAACAAAGACTTTTGCCTTGCACCTTTTATTCTAGACAGCTACTGAAGCCAGAAGGGAACTGTGATGTTTTGAACAAGGAACTCTTAGTGATCAGAGATGCTTTTCAACACTGGCGCCACCTCTTATAAGAAGCTTCACACCCCACTGAAGTCCAAACAGACCACAAGATCCTGGAGTATCTACAGTCTTTTCATACGCTCAGGTGGGCACAATTCTCCCAATTTAATTTTCATACCACCTATGTTCCTAGCTTGCACAACAAGCAGGCTGATGCTTTTTCACACAAGTCTGAATAGTTTGTTCCATATGACACCCCCCTCCCAATTCTGTTCTGCAGTCTGAAAATTTTG